CTTGTGCTCTGTCAGATGGGGCTGCTTCCCGGGAAGGGCCAGGTTGTGGCTCCATAACGTTTATAAAAATCAACAAACGATCACAAAACGAAAGGTCAACAAGAAAAAACTTAACAGAATAACAGAAACTTAACAAATATAACAAGATAATAACAACAAATAGCAGCAAACACCGAGAACACATGCGCATTCGAGCATTCAAAGAAGTCGAATGAAAATCAATCAATGTGACAGACGCGACGTGACAGCTAACATTTTTTTAAAAGGTTTTTTAAACCTGGAATTAGTAGACAGTGATGCCAGCTAAAGAATAAAATATTAAGTAATTAAAGTTAATTAGATATATTGTTCGTGATATTGAAATATTTGTTATTTTTGTATTAGGTGACTTGTATAAGTAAATATTTAGATTTACCTTTTTGTAGGTGAAACATAAAAAATACGTAGCATTTTATTATTTATTGCCCTCAAATGGTTCAAATTTGTCTCTTTTTCGGTGGAGAACTTTTTTTAGTAGCAACACTTACGAAATGTCAGAATTCTACGGAATGAAAAATCAGAGTTTAGTGTGCAATTGCTAGAGCATTGACAACTGACATTTTGATAACTTAAAAAAACTTTAATAAATCTAAATTATAACGTTGTAGTAAAATAAAATATTAATTACTTTAGACCATACACCAATATTTACCCGCTAGCCGCTGACGCTTATAAATTGCGACAAGTGACAGTGCGAGCGTGCGTGCAGAGTGGCGTTAGGATGTGCTCGTCGTCTCAGCTCTCGGTAGTTGTTGTCTTGCTCGTGCCGCTTCACTGTATTGGGTGATTGTTTTGACACACTGTTTTATGCGTGCCTAGTACTTGGACCTAATTATATCACTTTTATTTGTTTTCAAAACTAATTTATTTTTTATAATAAACATTTTTATAATAAACATATAATAAACATCACACACGCGGACACGTCTTAACGCTGTTGTGGTCCAGGGGGAGAGGATAATAATGATATATATTGATATTGATAATGATATCGAACGCGTCTACCGTGTTCGGAGCGACAACGTCGACTGCTCAAAAACTAAAGTAAAAAAATTGCAATTTCAATTGATTTATAACTTGCACGTCAGTTGAGGAAACAATCGTAAGGGAACTGGTATATCTGGAAAATATCGCGGACAAGAGAAATCCGTTTACTTGCACTGAACCTGCGCAGTGGACTTACCGACCCTCGAGAGGTGTCTCATGCTCTGCTGTGGGTTGTACATATTTATAAGCTTAACCTTTATGTTTAACTAATAACATATTTTTAAATATCAACGACATTATTAATACAGTATTTCCAGTATTTATTAATATTTCCATTAACTACATCAGCGTAAAATACCTATGTGAAATCAGGCAAGACAGATATCATATGACGAATTCGAATCACATAGTTTGTAGTTTCACCGTCAGTGCGTGTGATTATATCGTATTGAAATTTGAGAAATACTAAAGTTGGTAAGAATTACCTCGTACACATCCGCTCAATAAAATTAAATTGTATGTATTACCTAGTTTGAAAACAACTCCCGTCCTCCCTCAATTGCGTGCACTAATACCGTTACCACTAATCCCAGCACCACTACTCTCAACACCACTACACTAGGAAAGATACATCATCTACGATAATACGGCACGTGTTTCGCCTCTACACGAGGCATCCTCAGGTGATGTAGACACTGCGGTATTTTACTCGCACTTTTGATGTCGCATGTTTTTATCGAATGACGCGGTCGCTCGCAACTTTAGTGAGGAGTGGTGGCATCAGCGAGTTGTATAAATAGCAGCTGTTTTGGCTCGCCGCTGACTTTAACCGCAGTCAATGATGGTGTTGGGAGTAGTAGTGCTAGAATTAGTAGTGACGGTATTAGTACACGAAATTGAGGGAGGGCGGAAGGTGCTCTTCAAACTAGGTAAGACACATCATTTTCTTTAATGAGCGGATGTGTGCGAGGTAATTCTTAACAACTTTAATATTATGGATTTTTGCAAAGTAACGCCTGATTTTATTAATTATCACGAGAAAGATTGTCAAGACATTTTAGTAAATTACCTATTTGATGGTTTTGTGTGCTATAAACACGCTATGTTTATTTATCTATTTATTACAAATTATATTAATCAAGGCTAAAAAGTAATAAATATACATAGAAAACATTTATAAGCTTTGTGACTTCTTATCGGTTAATAATTATTTAATAACATTAATAACACACATACAAACGCGGGCGCACGCATGGGTGCGTCGCATACACGCGCGCACTCTCGTACGCACATATGCGCACGTAGATGGACACACACACACACACACACACCACACACACACACACACACACACACACACACACACACACACACACTCAAGCACGCACGCACGCACGTGTGTACACACATCACACACATATATAAATTACTAAATAAGGGTTTATTTTTAGTATATTAAAATATTCTTTGGGGTTGTTCCACTACTATTTTATGAAAAAGTATTATTAAGAAATAAATGTATTTTTATTTATTTTATTATTTATTTATACACAAGAAACCGAAGCGCATCTATACTCGAATTATTGTATTTCACCGAGTCATGAATTCTGTTGTAGGTAAAGTGAAGGAAGTATTTAAGCGAAGAGCAGTGGTTTACCAGTGATTAAAGCTTTGAATCTATTTGATCTTTTCATTCCTTTTAAGCTGGCCGCAGGAATGGAAGAACGATAAACGAGCGATGTTTCCGCACACATAAAACAAAATAGTATAACTTCCTCTTACGGCTTTATATGTTGTAAGCAAAAAAGGAAAAATAAAGTCAGAGCCTCATATATATAGGACCTATGTAGTGGTGGTGTAAGAATATCCGCTGCCCCATATCGACCGATGAAGAGTTGACAGAGAGAAACAAATCGGGAGATGGGCTGCAGCGTCTTCCTATTAACAGTAAATATAAGCAACTGCTGTTTCAAACCCGCTTGCTCAGCATGGCTACTATGGCAAGGGTTCCACCTATGAGGCAATCTATGGGGGAGGCCAATGTTCAGTGGTGGGCTTTAATAGGCTATAATAGCAACAGTATGCACATATAGCTGGGCACTGCCGAACTGTGCACAACGCAGCTGTGCACTGTTTTTGTTTATCGAAGAGGAGGCAAACGAGCATAGGGCTCACCTGTTTGTAAGTGATCAGTTCTTAATTCTTCTGAATTGTTGTTTAACAATTAATACGTTGCTCTACTTCAAAGACATTGATTGAAGGTAGTTCTTTCCTAGCAGGTGAACACATGGTTAAACCAAAAATTCCAATGAACTTGTAAGTTTGTGTTGACGGCGACCAATACAAGTTTGGCTAGCAAATGCTAATGAAATTTACGGCTAGCATACGGCAGTGTGATTGTGAAACTGTTAAGTTACTAATGTTAGATTTTGTTGGTAAAAACGTCATCGTCCTCAATCAAAAATCAAAATACAGACACGTTGTCACCCCTATAATAAGATGATCAATATTAAGATGCCCAAGAAGAATATCTCGCTTAAAAAATGGGTTTCCGGTTTCTATAACTACCGTATGAAGCACAGCACCATAAAGATGCTGCACTGGTATTGTGAGAGCGTGGTTCTTCCCTGATCGAGCCGACCAATTTGTGCTACAATACAAATGTAGCATGGCTCTGCCACGTGTAAACTATCAAATAGCTTATTTACAGATAGGTAGGAGGACTTTTAATTAAAAAAAATCGCTTTAATACATGTAAATATAGTTATTGTAAATATATGGATTATAGTCAATATATTAGTTACAGGGTAATAAATTTATCGTACAACGTTTTTATAAAGTTACCTCTGCAACCATAAAAAGAAGTTCTAAACTATACGAGCGCTTGGAAACTGTGGGTCCATCTGCAAAATGTTTTCGATTAGTTTGTCCAACAATATTCGTATGTACTAAGTTATGTATCATGGAGACACCGTACATCTGTCAAACTTAAAGGGTAAATATATTAGTAGTCAAAGTATACGATCAAAGAAGTAATATTGTAATTTTTAACCGACTTCAAAAAGAAGGAGATACTCAATTCGACTGTAGCTTTTATATGTGTTACATCATAACTTTTTTCAAGCTGAACCGGTTTTTATGATTCTTTTTTTATTTTTAAGCTAGTGCTTTTTATGTAGTTACATATAATACATAACCTCGTTATCGTAAGTTTTTGGCAACACACACTAATAGCAAAATTTTGTTATTAAATACTAAGGTATATCGGATGAGAAGTAGAACGAATTACAATCCAGCGGTGTTTCTAAAGGCTTCTGAAGCAATATTTCGGCTGCACCGCTCCAATGCGTGGCAGAGGAGCTTTTTTTTCTTCACTTTTTATAAGCCAGTGCTTAACCACAATCCCACCCTGTAGTAAGTGGTCATGCAGCTTTAGATGGTAAATCGCAATGTCTTGCGTAACAAATACTTATTCACTCTTGCCTTGAAGGCGCTCAGTTTGTATTCGGATGGAAAAATAGACGCCGGAAAATTATTATACTCTTTTGTTGTACGCATTAAAAAGGCGAAGTAAACCGTTTGGCCTCTGTGATTGCGTTTTGTTTATTTGTGTAACTACGGTATTGATTGGTTATTTTTAATCTATGTACTTGTAGCTGTCTATGGAATATAGAAAAAATTGTGTGACGGAAAAATAAACGTTCGAAATGTCACTTCGTTTTACGAGTTGTGAGCCAAGTTGGTAAGATAAGACTTTTTTTTTGTATTTTTATTATAAATAATTCCATATTCATGATTGTTTTTTACTGTTTTGTGTTATAAGGCTTTATACTGACATATTATATGGTTGGAATAACAATTCGTTTGGATAAAAGTGCAATACACATGATTTTTATGTGCTGTACCTGTTGGTGTACAATGGGCGCTTGTGTAAATAATTTTTGTATTTTGCAGGTGTTTTCAAAGACCCTACAATGACTGACCGTCACGTCTTTACGAGTCAAAATAACTATGCGAGACTTGAAGAAGCCCTTGAATCTATAGTATCTGATGAAAATAATGATGCGCAGTACGACGTCTTTTTATTGCCACCAGATCCAGCTATTGTTAGTGATGAAGAAGAAGGTAATGAAGATGACTTGTCTTCTACAACTTTACATAATGATTTCTACAACTTTCCCGAGAGACGTACCGGGTACAGTTGAGGTAGCCCCACTGCACTGATCATGATGTTTCGGACTGGGATGACAGTGATAACGAGCCATTGTCCACTCACTCACGACCTGCAAAGCGAGCTAGAAGGCGAGATTCTAACGAGCCTGTATGGAGAAAAACTTTACCCTTATACAGCATGACCCATGACGTAACTGGTATCATTCAGCGACGACAACAAGTCCTCGTTGAATCTTTGAAAGACTGCAGGCCTGTGATGTTATTTGAGAAGATATTTGATGATAATGTTATGAGTTTGATTGTGGAAAATAACATGAAGTATGCTGAGCAACATAACAGACACAGTTTTGAAATTGATAAGCCCGAATTGAGAACTTTTCTGGCCATTTTATGTTTTACTGGATATCATGAACTGCCTTCCGAACGTGCCTATTAGAGTTTTGATGAAGATCTCGGCGTTTCATTGATCGGTAATTGCATGTCACGCAATAGTTTTTCCGACATCAAACGAAACTTACATTTCGTCGACAATTCCTTAGCGGAAGGTTCAAATGATAAAATGTTCAAAATGAGAACGCTGTGCGATCTTATACAAAAAAAAAACTCTTGCCAATCATAAAAACTTATCTATAAATGAATCTATGATAAAATACTTTGGTCGTCATCCCGCCAAACAATACATAATGGGAAAACCTGTACGATTTGGCTACCGGAATTGGGCTGCAACAAGTCCAGATGGCTACTGCTACACTTTCGACATATATTGCGGAAAATATACAGAAGTGTCGATAGACCAACTGGGCTCGAGAGTGATAAAATCCCTATTAGCAAATATGCCGATAGTCCCAAAAGAACATGTCGTATACTTTGATAATTTTTTTACCAATTATCAGTTACTCCACGACTTGCGACTCTTAGGGTACAGAGCCACAGGAACAATACGAGAAAATAGAACAAAAAGTTGTCCTGTGGCTGATGTAAAAACAATGAAAAAGAAACCAAGGGCGGATTACGACTATCGTTTCGATATCAAAAATGAAATAACAATCGTGCGGTGGAAAGACAAGAATGTGGTCACGATGGGATCAAATTTTGACGCTTTAGAACAACTGGGGATGGTGAAAAGGTGGTGTAGTATACAGAAACAAAAAAGTGGATGTATATATTTCAAGATTGTTTGTCAATTATAACAGAGGCATGGGTGGAGTAGATCAGATGGAACAATCGATTAGTCTCTATCGAGTAGCCATAAAAGGAAAAAATGGTGGTGGGTAATCTTTGCCTACCATTTAGATATGGCGATTTCAAATGCTTGGCGTCTGCACGTCTTGATCAGCAAAACTACTGACACGCCCTACATGGATCAATTGCTATTCCGGCGTACGATTGTTAGACCATACCTTAGCCAAACTAAGACAAAAAGTCGTCCTACGTCATCAACAATATCTGGCCTTGTGCAGAAAAATAACGGACATAACCCGCAACGCATCGAAATTACGATGTGTTATTTGCCACAACCGCGTTCGTTGGCGCTGTGAGATATGTGCCAAAACACTATGTGTGAAACGACCATGCTTGGGACAATTTCATGCCTGATTCGCCCATTGTACCCGGACAAGTACACCCCGACAGTTCCCAAAAAAAAAAATAATAATTACTTTTGTGCCTCTTATTTAGTCCATATTCATGCAATAAATAACGAGTGGTTATAATTTTCATGTGTAGTTTAATTTTGGGCGTTAATGGGCTAATGCGTGGAATATCTACAACAAAGGGGTGAAGACCCGCCGACCGCCTGGTCGTCCGATGGTGGACCTATACTTTGACCTATATCTTGATTTATATATTCCTCAGTTATTTAGGTTTTATCGTAAAGATTTTCATCACCGCCACACATATATTGCAACACTGAGATCAAAGTCAGTTTGTCCATAATATTCCAAACTTATATTTTATCAACTATCATTTTATTTCTAGTGCTCCACAAACTATACACGTAGCTATTAAAATACTTGTAAATGGAAATTTATAAGTAGAGGGTTAGACTTATTTTATATTTTCAGTATCTAGGAGACGGTTTCATCATTTTATTTCACCGGGTCGACATCTACATCCAGGATTGTAGCCGAGACAAACACTTGTACCATTCGGGATTTGAACACGCGGGCCTTACAACGCCACAAACAAACGCTAAGCCACTGTACTATGGAACCCGTCTAATAATCAATAGCTAGTAATAGGAACTGAATACGAACCATCGAAAGCGTTGACTGTAGTTTTCAGGCATCTAAATTCAACTAAAAGTTAAGTGCTGTTACTGGTTTATTAAATATAGTACAGGGAAGATAGGTGTCACAGCGTCGTACACTATCACGCCTCAGTCTCCTTAAAGTTCTCATGCAGTCCAGAATTTTGGCATTATAAAATATATACAAAATTCTCTATAAAAAGTGAGGTTTTAGTTCATTACAAAAATACTATTGTATTTTGATAACGGAATTAAAACATACCAAGCGAATGTCGGTAGCGTAAAAATCACAATTATTTCAATAGATATTACTCGAAATTATTTACGTAAAATGATAAATTATATTTACACAAAAACTTTCATTACAATTTTATAATAAAACACTAATAAAATACTAGAAAAATCCAAAAATCAACACAATAACATTCACGCGAAAATGGCGTACGAAATGAACGTACATTATAAATAATATCCATAGCATAACTATTTTTTATTGCACTAGAGAATAGAAAATTTTATATTGATTCTATAATGCCAAACTTCTTCATAGAAAAGTAGTCTCTAAATATAAGTTTAAAGTGCTGTGGGGGTGCGCGGTCGAATTCGACCGCTTGGGTTTTGACGGAATAGCGCCGCGGTCGATTTCGACCGCTTAGGTGTTGAAGGGTTAAAGCGCATGTCCAGCCGTGAATCCCGTTATTATGGATGGGATGGTGATAAAAAATGCCACTTACCAGTTTCGGACTTAATTAAAATATTTTAAGAGGATTATTGGTTACCTGAATCTAGTTGAAGTAAATCTTTCCTCAGCACAGAGGCAATGTAATCAGACTGCTGCCGTGTTTTGTGTGGTGAGTACAGAGAACCGGAGCCCCTTTTTATTGGCAACGGGGCATTCCATCTAGTCATCAGGTGTGACAATGCATCTGCATTTTGAATCTAAATCGATGATAGATGTAGGTGTCTATGGTCACAACATCCACTTACCATCAGGTGAACTGTGTGCTTATTTACCACACTTATAACAGTAAAAAAAACCTTTCGGTGTTCTACAGGAATTTTGGAGAGCGTGTGTAGAAATTGCATGACTTTATTCCTCCTTCTTTCTTCCACCATCGGGCTACCAGACGCTTAGCCAATCTCCATCTCTTCGTTGTTGACAAACGAAGACTTCAAACCAAATGATTTGTCTTCTGTGTGGGTGTGTGTGTGTGTGTGTGTGTGTGTGTGTGTGTGTGTGGGCGCTTGTGTGCGTGTGTCTGTTTTTGTTAAAATATGTGCTTAAAGTAGGTTTTCACAATTTTCTTTTAGCCAGTTTAAAATAGTTTGTATAATTTGGTGTCGTTTTTTAACTGCCACCAAACAACAAACAAAAAATCTTCAATGTACGAATTCAAATAAATAAGCTTTAGAGGCCAAATAGTGTAATACAAATACCAGGGTAGGACCACGATCTCACTGCTAGCGAATGACAGTGTAAAATAGAAGCTAAATGCTGCTGCGTTTTTTGAATGGTGAGTTTAGAGAACCGGAGAATCTTTTTACTGGAAAAGAGGCATTCTATCATCATATCATCTCATTATATCATTCTATCATTATAGTTAGTCTGGCTACATTCAGTTTTTGAATATTCGGACCAAAAATTAATATTCAAAAACTGAAGGTAGCCAAACTAACTATGACATCGGGACGTCAAACATCTGTCCCTCCCGTGGCCATGGTTGCTGGAACGTCGGGAATTAAAAAAATAAGTTAAAAAAATAAGTTAAAGCCGTTGATTAAACGCGATAAAATCCATAAATATAGTTTTATTAAATAAACAAAATTAGTCAACTTTTATTATGTATGTAATTAAATTAGTTTACTTTTATTATGTTCGATTTAATCTTATGACAGGCTCGTATGGCTTTTTTATTAAATTATGAAGTGTGTACTTCAGATGATGTGTAAATTGTATAAAACAAAATCATGTCGTTTTATAATATTTGTCAGCTTTATAAATAAGAAAATGTCTTTTTTATTTTATTCCTTATTTAAGTAATTCGTAAAATTTAACTTATGATTTCAAACTATGCAATGACTTAAAGTATTATATCAATAGCATCATTGAATTAACTATTTCTAACATGAAACTGCATGACGTCCATCGAAACGATCAGAAACTTACGTCACACCTCCAGCAAGTTTCAACAATTGCTATCGAACTAGATTCAAACGGTTTGGATACACGGATATAAAAATAATCCTAACTAAAAGAGGCAAATAGAGTATATGTGTTCCATCCAGTCATTACAGCCTATAAAAATCCACTGCTGACATAGACCTCTTCCATAGATTGTGTTGTACGGATATTTTTGCCATAGTTGCCATGCTTGGATGACGGATTGGCGAGCGCAGTTTTTAAAATTTTGTCGTTTTATCAGAAAAACGCTGCTGGCCATATTCTGACACAGTTTCCCTCAGTCGCCTCTTATGACACACACAGTACGATATGGGATAGTAGATATTCTTACACTGCCACCACACGGTCATTATTAATGTTTAGTGATTATGGCACACTACCATCTTCTTGTGGTTAAAAATCTATCAATAATCTTGAAGGAAGCTCAGAGGATAATCTGAGTGATTATCCTCTGAGCTTCCTTCGAGATTATTGATTTACTTTAAATTTCGAGTTCATTACGCGAACGACCTGAGTTTTTTGAACTATAGTTTAATTTTTAGCGCGAATTAAACTTATTATTACATATTTCAGTGTTGATTTACTGTAGGATCGGCGGTAAA